ATTTTGAAAAGGTTCTATTCTTGAGACTGCATGCAAGATCCAGACTCTCTCCCTTGCATCCTTGTGCTCTGTTTAGCTACCTTCTAAGACCCCGCCCAAAGGTACTTTCAAATTAAAACCATGACATTCCCCTTCTTTTTTTTTTCCTTTTCAGTTAAATCATTTTGGTTAAATCATTGAAAATTATTAGTATAATTTTTTGTTCCTCTTACTGGGCAGAGAAAAAACAGGCATTATCTAATTCCTGATTTTTTTCTGCCCTGGATTAAATCACATCTCTTTGATGTTTATTGGTATGGTGTAAAACACACATTTTAAAATGACAAATATCTGCAAAAGTCTAATTACATAGAAGCAGTAAGAGACAGAATCAATATATTTGGATATTATTCTATAAAACTTCCAGACAGCTTTGTATCATTGATTAGATCCCACAGTTTCAACTGAAAGGCAGAATCAGTAAAAATTTTAGCACAATGTAGGGATCAGTAGGAACACAAAGATAGGTACATGAGTGACCATAAAATATAATTCCTCTTTTGTGCTTTAAAAAGTTATAGTCATGGGCTTTGTATATTACTCAATTTCTCACAGATATTATAAATCCATCTTTAACATGTTATTTTATTCCTTAGGTGTTAGAGATAAAAGAAATCACAAATGCTGTGACCAGAAAGAAGAAAACCAAAAGAAGGAAAGAGAAGTATTTTTCCTTATTGAACACAAGCTGGGTTTGTATGGTTTGAAGGTTTCTATTCATGCATATATTTCAATGTCTCATCTTTTGAATGCACATGAAAATGTCAAACGACAAGCCAAGCATGAGGGTAAAGGCAGAGGATATCCATTTTCTTATAATGGGAAGAAAAAAATCTTATAAGTTCAAGTCTCCTTCCACTTCAAAAATGATGATTTTATAGTGCTTAACCTAAATATTGTGGCCTCATATTTGGAAGTTAATAGCCAGATATTCTGAGCTTCAGAATTCTAGTGAGTTATTTTCTAGGTTTGTCAAAGAGGCTCACAGGAAGAAGTAGAATATTTGATATCTCCCTCGCTTTACAGACTCCAAGTCCATCTAAACAGGAAAAAAAAAAGTTCTATTTTTCATAATCATTGGCAGGGCTATAAGTAGGTCAGGGTGTCCAGACTATGCCACAGGGTACCCAAATTTAGAGAGCACAAGTGAAGCAAAAACAAAGCAAAACAATTTAAGGCAGTGCAAAATTTTAAGCTTCTCAGCAAATTTCCACACCGCCTCTCTAGTCTCATGCTACTAGCTTAACCCCAGAGTTGAGCCAGTATCTCTGGCAGGAGAGAGACAGATGGTACTGAAGAGCCAAGGGCAGCGGGGAGACTTCTCTAACCCCTTGTATGCTGAGAGCTTTGGAGGAAGGTCACCTCTTCCTTTCCACTTGCCTCACCCTTTCCCTAAAACATGATGGAATGAAGTCACCAAACTTACTAGGTCTGTTTACTGCTGACTTTATTAGACACATTGATCTAAGTAGCAGGTGCCTTGAAATTGTCAATTCACTTGCATCCCTAATGTATGCACCCCAAAAGTCATGTAATCTGAGAGGCAACATTTGCATTGGGATGATAAAGAAATAAAAAAGCTGATAAGAACAGATCAGACACTAGAAAGGCAATATGTCAATCAATGGAAGGGTAACTGATGTGATACAGCAATTTGTATACGGGGTAAAAGCGGGAGTTCATAATCCACTTGAATCAAACCGTGTAATATGATGTATTAAGAACTATGTAATGTTATGAACGACCAATAAAAAAAAAAAGAAAAGAAATAAAAAAGCACAGTATTACTTCCAGTCCTTCTTTCCCCACATACTTGTCCCCAAGTACATGCAAAAACCCCTACAGCTCTTGATCTCTGGAATTCTACAAATTAAAAGTTGATATTATCTGGTGCTGATGGGAAAGTATTTAGGCAACACCACAGCACTTCCAGAAGCTCTCAGTGGGTTGGTGACACTTTTCCCCTCCATCAGTTAAAATTTTCACGAAGTCAGTATTTCAAACATAGGAATTAAAACTACAGGGGTGGGGGGAGTGAGTTTTTAAACAAAGAAATGAGGTTATATAAAATAAAGTTATAAAACTGTCATAATTCCTGAAAAGAAGAATGTTACTGATATTGTCTCCATTTTGGATCATCTATACCACTCCTGTAAAGACGTGGACTAATCTAAGAATATTTGTGGCACATTGAAGATTCCCAGGATGTCTTCAGTTATTTTCTAATTAAACCACATGATCCAGACTGCTTTGGGTACAAGTTATATTTAGCCTAATCAAATGTTTAGTTCCCTAAAGTGCATGAGATATCACAAAGCCAAACAAAGGATATTGTCTAAACATCTGCCATTTTGGATCATTTATTTTCTACCTTTGCTAAAATAACTAAACTTATACAGAAACAAAATCTGATGAGCACTTCCCTAACTTCTTGTGTAAGAATTACACAGTTTAAATGCACAATTTTGTATAACCTTGTGATAAAATGATCTCCATGCTGGGCACAGTGGCACACGCCTATAATCCCAGCAGCTCTGGAGAGGCTGAGGCAGGAGAATTGCAAGTTCAAGGCCAACCTCAGCCAAAGCGAGGTGCTAAGCAACTCAGTGAGACACTGTCTCTAAATAAAATACAAAATAGGGCTGAGAATGTGGCTCAGTGGTCGAGAGCCCCTGAGTTCAATCCCCAGTACCAAAAAAAAAAAAAAAATGCTCTCTATAAAGCAAATATGTCCAGAAGTCCTCTTCCACAAACAATCTTTCATATAAAACATTACTACTCTTTCCTATGGAATGACTTAATCTTTCATCTATCTTAATTATACTGAAGTGTGGTTAAAATTAAACAGAGACAACTCTTATTCACGATCTTCAGAATCAATTCTCAAATTGGGGCTAATAAAAATGAGGGTACTCATTTGTCATCTCTCCCTCCTTCCCTTTGCCCCCATGAAGCAATCTAATTTTAGACTGGGTAATGACGTGTTGAGAGGCTGACCTATGTACCTTAGGACATTTAGCAGGATTTGTGGCTGCTACACACTACATGTTAGTAGCATCCTTGAGTCATGACAATGAAAAACGTCTCCAGACATTGCCGATGACACCAGAAGGAAGAGGAATCACCCCCGTTGAGAAGCATAGGTCTAATCAAACATTGCCAGTCCTGGCCACTTCTGTTTTGCGTTTCAGAAGTCACATATAATAGTTTTAAAAATGTATAGACTAAAATTATATCGTTATCTTTTGTGCATGTACAAATATGTAACAATAAATCCTACTATTACATATAATTGCAATGCAACAAAAACTTAAAAAAATTATAGACCAAATATTGTACAAATCTATACATAAATCTATTCCAGGAATCATAACAAAAAGTAAAACTTCCAGATAGCTTTTCAACAGAACTGTGAGGTATGGGCTTTATGAACTCATTAATTTCATTTTAACAATTAATGTGCTAATTTGAATGACACATTTAGTTAATTTTTATGTGTGTTCTTCATTGGCCCTTTTATATTTTTAATGAAGTATATTGTTAAAAATGTATTCCTTTTTCAATCAATTATTAAATAATAACAATAGTTCAAAAAGAGGAAATATATTCAGGAGTGCATATCAGTGAATATTTAGCACAGCTCACTCATAGTAACTTTCCATTACGTTCTGCTGCCACACAAGATCAGAAGAGAAAATTAGTTCTGCATAGAATTGACATTCTCAAACACTTAACTTTCTAAGTATCAATTTAATCTATGTAATGCCAATCATATTTAAAATGTTAATTTCTGGAATAATTTCAATATTCAACCCCAATTAGAAATTTCCTACTCCAATGACGTAGGATTTTTCCAAGGTCTTTGTTAATGTTGGTATCTTGTAAATTAACTCACTAAAAAAAAAATGCCACTTGTTTTAGTCTATATGGTATGCCAAGTTTCTACCATTAAAACCGTGGTAGAACTTTTTGGTACAGTTTACCTACATTTTGATGGCATTTGAAAGAATAAAGATAATGAGTTCATGTCTCCTTTTAACATAAGATATCTCAAAGCACAAAGACAGTGAGAGATTTCCTTTCCCTTATATGGAAACATATTTGGCAGCTTACAGTAACAGCAGGTTTTTCTTTCTGTATGTCAAAAGCTGCTGTAATCCTCCCTGTTATTAAGGAAATAAGTAGCTACTAATTCATATCAATTTGCTTGTATGAAATATGCCTTGAGGGACCATGCTTAACATAGGGCCCATTCATGAGATTTTGGTGGGAATCAATGAATAAAACAATTCTGCTCTTTCTAGAATAAGTGTTTGGGGGTTATACTTGCCTTTTGTGCTGGTATGACAAGCAGCAACCAATAAACTCGCATGTCTTAATATCTGCAAGTTGTGTTACCAAACAGTTTATACGTAGCTCTCTAAAACTGATTTTTGCCATACCAAGTCATGTGGGTATAGCATTCATAGTTACACAAGAATGAGCTTTATCTCTGTGTAGTGGGTGTGAGAGCGTACATGTCTATATGCATGGGTGCATACATATGATGTATCTTGGAGTGAATATATTATGTTAGATAGGAAAGGGATCTGCCTTCTGGTTCATCTTCCACAGATGCTCACCTTATGTCACTGTGCTTTACTTCGTCTCTGAACATTACATTACGGAGGCATTTTTGCCGTTTACAAATGAGTATTCCATATGTACTCTTTTTGCACTAAAATAATGATAACAATGCAAACAGGTTTACATAATGCAGACCTAAAATCGAATTCACATCTTAAATTCTGAGGCAGGAAAGTGGCTCATGTTATCCAGACTATGAATCAACACAGTCTAAATTCAACAATGCTTCACATTGTCTAAGTAGACTTGACAAAAGGGGAAGAAACAAATCTTGTTTAAAGTTTTAGAAATGGAGGAGAACTATAGTTAATGTAGACTTGGTTCAACAAATCACAATAATCAGTTACAGCATTTTGTATCCTTATTACTCAATAAGGGATTTTTTAAATCTACCCCATCACCTACCCACTGCCCCTAAACAGGGCAAAAAATAAATAATAATCTTTAAAAACCTACAGTCCTAATGCTAGTCTTAATAAGACAGGTCTTTTAAAATTATTATGAGCCAGCAACACTTTTGCCCTGGCATTTCCTTTATTCCTCCTTGATTAGTTCCGTAGCCTCAACAACTAGCATTCATCTTATTTTTTGAATTGCATCTTCTAGATATGAACCACGCATATGTGCTTTACCAATGTCATTTCATCGGCATTTTATGAGTTGTAAATTCACCCTGTGCTGTAGGACGTTTCACAGGATGTTTCGTTTCTTCTTTGTCCTCCAAGCTGTCATTAAAAGTAGAGTTTTGCTTGGGTTTTTGTCGTTCTTCTCTTCTTTTTCCAAGTGGCCCATGCAAATCCATGAAAAACTTGACCATTCTCCTTTGGAGTCACATAGAAAACCTAACAAAAAGACCCTGGCTCAGTCCTCTCTCTCCTTCCACCGTCCCTAGGAAGTGGGCTGGAGCGAGGGCTCCTCACATGGGTCCAGCTGCATTCGCAGTGCACCGATTTTATGAAGATACCAGAGTTGGAGAAATTCCTCAGGCATGGCATGGAAGCCAGAGAAGGGCAAGACGTTGTCATAGTAGTGGTGGCTGATGGGCTGCTCATGCATATTCACAGAGAAGGGCCAGAAGCCATAGATGGCCACCTCTTCACAGAGGCCCAGGGCTGCACTCACCAGGAAGAGTCCTGTGGACAGGCGCTTGGCATGGATTCCCCTACTTTTCCAGAACTTTCCAATGCTACGAAGAAAGTTGGGGTTGGCAAAAAGCACTGTTTGATTGGCACCAACATCTGACAGTGTGTAATAAACCCGGAGAGATGGCTCTGTTCCCGTCTTCATAGAAAAGGCAGGCATGTAGATGTAACTGTGGTTATAGATTTTCATGTTGTCCACAAATGTCTTTCTGGACCATAGCAGGTTCTGAAACCTATTAGAGAGAAGAGGCTCAATTAAACCTCAAGAAAAAGAAACATTAAAATCCACTCTTCTGTCTTCTGATGGCTCAAATCATCTCAGCAAAACACATGAAAAATACTTCACTTGTATTTAAAATCCCTCCTTGAACTTACCAATTATCTCTTACAAGAAGCCTGGCTTTCTCCCACCCAGTGCCTTAAATTCAACTTAACATTCCCCAGTGGAGTTCTTCTGAACTAAAATGCTTTGTACATTTTGCTCTTTTTCAAAATGTATTTACCTGGAATGTAAAAGGATTTAATTCTCATGAATTCCTAAAATTTGTTGGCTGGGGGTCTGATGAAAGCTACATGCATGGTCTAATATCAGAATAGGAGTGGTTTCCTCATCGCAAATCAAAAGAATCTCTTCCAAGATACTTCTTCCCATTCAAACTCCATGATTCTATAAGCGTTTAGTTAATCGGTGTTATAACTAGGGTCTCACAACTTTGGATATAGTTCATGCAAGGGCAGCTGCCCATCTTTAGTGCAGGTTATATAATATTATCCACGTATAATAGTACATGGAAAAAGAAGGACTTCTAAAATGGTGCAGAGTTGCCCATATTGCTTGCTCCAAAGAACTCGACTTTGCTATGCTCTTTCAGTTTTGATTACATAAAGAGGCCCTCAGTTTCAAATGTATTCAACTAAAGTTTAAGGTATACTTCCTATGTGTCAGTGGGGAAATGAAAAATTAATGAACCAATTTTGGGTCTCAGGAAATTCAACTCCCGCTGTGGTAACAGAAATATTAATGAATACAATATGATACTCCAAATGTAGTGGTTGATATTTGTATAAAGTAGAACAGAGATGGGAAAAATATTCTGCCTGTAAGACAGAGCTGGGTCCAAGTTAGCTACAGAAAGGGGCAGTGTTTGAAGACACCTCCTCAGGAAAACAATAGAAAGAGTGGCAGCTAATCCAGAAAGGAGGGTGTGGTCATGGGCAGGTATACTGCAACAATGACAGAGGTCATTGTCCCTGGACTTTGGGAGATAGGGATGGTGGGGACAGTGGTTGAAGACATGAAGACAAGGCATGCTGCAAAGACCCTTATATGTCTCTCCAATTTGTCTAGATATCACTCTGTGGCGATGGGGAACCTTCCCAGCAGTGGCTACTTACTACAGTTGTCAGACTGCATCAAAAAAAAAAAAAAAAAATATATATATATAATGTATAGAAGATGATCTTGGCAAGGAAGAGGTTGGCAGCTTGGAGATCGGGCAAGAAGCTGCCCATGTAGCTCAAGAAGGGAAGGAAAGAAAAAGGAAAAGGAAAAAAGACAATCCAGGAGACTAGGTCTTAACTTTGGATTTCTTCGCAAATCCAAACTGCTCGTTACCAGTTACATGCAGGTGAAGCAATAGCATCTATGACAAGAACTGAGCCCCAACTAGCAGGGGGAAGTCCCTGACATGCTGAGAGGCTCATTATAAATATTTGAAATTAAAACTCTGAATATACAAATCCATAGGATTTTACGTAGTCATCAGTGATATCTATTTTGCCTGCCAAGAAACAAAGGTGTGTTTCTCAAGCCCAGAAGGAAGGATAATCTCTCTGTTTTTTTCATATCCTTGATCTAGCAGCTGCCTTTGGTAATTTTCCCTGTGCACAGACAAATAAAGAAGTAGTAACAGGGTCTTTCAGAAGTACCACTTTACCCTAGCAGAACCATGGAAGCACAGTCAACCCCGCTAACAAGGCAATAGATTCTTGCTTCCGAACTTTGACATGGGATCTGCTCAGCAATTCTTTTATTTCTTCCATATCCACCCATATCTTCTGCTCTCTTCCTTAAAACATTAATGCTTTCCAACCACGTAGATAACCTCCTACTTCACTGAAGAATAGTTCTCAAGCTCTAGTTAGAATAACCTAGACAGTTCACTAAAATCAACTTCCTGAGTTCTGACAAGAATGATCCAACGGTGGAATTTTTATCCAGTAGTCTCTGGTGATTCTGATAGAGATGTCTATGAAATAAACTTATTTAGAAGATCAAAACATCAATGTGAGATGCCTAGCTTTATGCATCTGTCCCTCAGTACCTCTTTCTTTAAATCTTCTAATTTTATCTCTGCTACCATCCTAAAAGGAAGAAACACTCTCTCTTCCCCTTTGTATCTTGGGACACGTTGGTTTTATTTTTTTTTTCACACTTCCTAAAGAACTCATGTTCTAAAGTAGGTTCTCCTTTTGAACATTTAACTGTTTCACCTCTACTAAACCATTTTCCCAGTCTTCTAAACATGTTTAGAACTCCCCCCTGAGAGCTTTATTGAAATATATTTTACAATTTAAAAATGTGTATATTTAGGGTGTGCAATGTGATGCTTACCACACCATGTTAGAACTTACTAAGAGAAAGCTCTTGATATGCCCACATTGTTCCCTGAGCTACATTTTGTTCTCTCATGTCACCATCAACATTCCAAGAGCAGTTAGATATACTTCTATTGCCTTTCATTCTTGCAACAGTATACTCCCTCCTTATTACTGTCCAATTACTCCTATTCCCCAGGGCTTTGTTGGCTCATGGAACTGATAACTTTTATCTCTGCAGGGGACTACACATTAGTAGAGAATTACTGGGGGGCTTCAATAAAATCATGACAATTGATTTTGTTTCCTATGGTATAAGCTGACTGGTTATTCTTGACAGGGATGGTCTTTCCTCTTAGAAAATGAGCTCCATCTTTAATTTACTATAATCTCAATTTTATGGACATTGTCAAACAACCAGTTTATCCATTGTATTTCAGTGTTTTTATCTGTCCCATTCTTCAACAAATGATTTTAAGGACTCAATTCTATAATTATTTATGGCCTATCCCATGTAATTAATATTTTTCCTGGTCAAGAGTTTAATAGAATTGGTTATAAATTTTACTATATTATAATAAAATTCCTCTGGAATGTAAAAGACTGACACTCAGCTTGTCTTCATGTCCTTCCCTTGTGCTCCAGCTATACCTGTGTGCACACCTGTGCATAGATTCCATTCTGTTCATTCATTCATTTCCCTGGTAAAATTCTACCTATAAATCAACACTCAATTTCATCTTTTCCTTTTTAGGGCATCTTTCTTTCTTCTACCTTAAGCATTTGTAAATTTTTTAAATGAACTGATCATATATATCCTTTAAGATTATGAACTCATTGAGACAAAGGACATGTCTCATTCATCTTTTAATTTTTATATTCTAGCTCAGATGACTTGTATGCTGAATAAATGGAAAGTAATTGAATAATAATTGAAAAGAATAAAAATGAAATTTAATTAGCTTATGAATTATTAAAATAGAAATTATTAATATATAATGAATATGGGCATGAAGGAAAAACCCATCCAAAGAGTAGAGTGAAAACACAGAAATATAGCATATCTTAAAAATGAATTTAAGATGATATAATGGAGATAAAATCAATGATTTTAAAAATTATTCAATAAAAGGTATTAACACGACTAGTATCCGTTTGGAATTTTGAGGCAGAATAGATTCAGGCTTCACAAGAAAATCACAAAATAGTTTCAAGATATGTAAGAGAAATATTTTAAATCTACAATATAAGAAAACAACTGCAGATTTAGACATTTGCAAAATATCTTTCAACAAAGGAAAATATTGACAAAATTGATATGTCAAGGTGTGAAATTTCATCACCATGAAAAATAAAATAGCTAAAATAAAAATAAATTAGTCTGAAAAATATTTATAGCAAATTTGATAAACAGAAGGCTTATATTTAGAATATTATAGTCTAAATATATTGATATTGACATATTGATATGAAAATTTAAAAAACAAACAAGCTAAGATTTTCAATTAGCAAAAATATTAAATCATTTTGGTTATGAATTGCTAATTAGGATGTAAAATTGAACAGAACAGAGAAATGATGAGGGTTCATTTCTCCCTTCCTACACTAAATCTCTGCAACTAAGAGAAAAGATGTTTTTGAAAATATGTACTCATAAAAAAGAAAAGAAAGCAAACCCTCAATGGATCTCAATCTGGGTTACCTCTGAAAAACAAAGTCTAGGCATAGGCAGTGCCCTATGCCTAGAGCAGGAGATATCAGGAAAGGGGGGTGTCTTGGAACAACTGGCCAGGGTATAGTTCAGATTATGGGGAGGCTGGGACATCCAGATGGGTAAAACCCTAAAATCTTTCATTGGTCAATTATCACTGTATGTGTGGGAGAGGGTGTCGGTCTTCGGGCAGGGACACTGGGTGCATGCCGAGATATGGATCAGCCAAGGGTTAACTGGGAACTCTCAACTCACACAATATCCACAGACAGGCTGAGACTCCCAAGTGGAAGGATGACACTCCACCTAGAGAAAAGACTTACAAATAACAACATTTAGGAGCCACCCAAGAGAAAGCAACCTTGCCACTTTCTCAACTCAAAGTAAAGTTTACCCTTCAGCCAGTGCAGTGTCTGCATAGAGCTTCTAGATCTAAAGAACCAGGATCAGAAGACAATGAAGGACAGCCTCTGACCCAAGAGTCCGAGATCAAACTGGAAAAACAAACGCAAAGAAAACCAAGATCATTCAAAAGGCAGAAAAAAAAAAAAACTCTTAAAAATCTATAATTAGTTTGTTCAGAAATATGAATTGCCATTGCATTCGGACTTGGATGCTATAAAAAGAAAAAGAACATTTAGGTAATAAGAAAGAGCTGCTGTCAATTAAAAAAAAAAATAGAGCAACAGATGAATTCCGGTAAAGAAAAGCTTCAGGAAAACAGCTACACAGTAGGCCTAGAAAGCCATCCATCAGTTTCTGGTGAGCAAAAAGGACAGCTCCAGGATGGATGTCTCAACAACAACAAAAAGTGCCCCTGACAGACTAATGTGTTTGGCAATCAAAAAGAAGAGCTGCGGCTCCAAAGGGAGACGAGCCATGAATTACTGCTGCATGAAGACGCTTTATTAGATCTGGGGGAAA